ACAATTGGAAGGGTCCTTCTCACTATCCTCCACACGCAAGATCTTCACCAATGGATCAAATGTTTGGAGGTAGCGGACCACACCATTCGAAGACTGATGTTGTAAAATAATATCAGATACTCCCATCCCCTTTGTATGCTTGGACCATTTACTCTTGGTCCATTATTTGGAGATGAATATGTTTCTGAGCTTGCCGTCTTGAAGGGACAAATACGAGGTGACAAACCTTGCCACCCCTGGCCTCAGTGAACTGCCTCTTCTCTATGAACTTCCTATCCATGATCAGGACGTGTGTGGTTTGTATATGAGAACCATTTTGGCTTCTGTTTTCTTTCTTGTCGAGTCCACAGTTTTCAACTTAGTTATTGTCTCAAGCATGAGGTCAATGTGCAGTGCACACGGTGTCAAAAAAATATATGGCTTCTTCAATAACCGACATACTGTTCCCCCACTTCCTCCATACACTGGTTAACAATACTGGAAATGAATTCTGCATTATTAGTTTTACTTGGGTAATGGATTTCAAAAATATGTTCCCCGTTGGACAATTAACCCCCTTGACAATGCGTCCTTGTGGGTCTTCAGATACGCATGAGCTCCACCACCTTCTTAGGCTAAGGCTGCCTGAGGCCATATGGTGTAAGGGCCGATTTCCCAAGCCCAAACTGGCCCACTGCTTCAAACATGCTCTTTAACCTAGCAGCACAGAAAGAAATGCTTGCTAGGTACATCCATCGGGCTATGTATTGAGATATATGACACCTATCATCTTTCTTGAGGCAATTCTCTATAGTGGTCCGCTTCTTGTATCTTACCAAAACCTTAGGATCTGGAGGACAATAAGAATCAATATGTCCTTTTGTGTGAGGCTTCGCTGCCTAAATCCCTTCTACTAATTCTAGCCCACCTTGGGTTCCCCTTCCTCAACATTATAAATATTGTTACACAACTTGCATTTCACACTATCTTTTGGATTAGGCAAAGAGACATATTTCCAACCCGGATCACCTTGTTTATTTGAACTGGAAGATGACATTGTCACTTATGTTACAAATGATTTAACTAATTCCCAAACCTGAAAATCTACAAAGTAAACCCCAATTATGAATACATATAAATTGCAACAAATCAAACTCCAAACATGAATGAAGTAAACAAACTAAAATCCAAGTATCTAAAAAAGTTAGTAAACCAAAACGCAATCTTGAAAAATTTCATCAAGAAATAACCTATATTAGAAATTTTTTTTTTAAAAAAACCAAAATATCTGAAGTTGAAATGCGAAACCAGATAGAAATTACAAAACCGAAACCCAAATATTGGAAAACATCATTGAACTCAATAAACCCAACCTTATGCTAGAAAAAAAGTTACAAAACCAAACGGTCCAAAATGAAATTTGAAACTAGAAAAATACAAAACCTAAACCCAAACTTGAAAAATGTCAACAAACCCAATATCAAAATTTCCAACAAATTCAAACCTAAAATTGAAGAAGAAAACACATAAACAACAACAAATCTTGAAAGAAAAAAAAAAAAATCCAAAACTCAATCTTGAAAAATATCAACAGACCAGAAACAGAGCTTTCAAAAATCAAAACGGAGTAACCTTTAAAAAATTAAACAAAGTTGGCTCAAATCGGTGAGCTTTAGCAAAAAAACACTAACAATCCAAAACCCAATCTTGAAAATATCAGGAACCCAAAACCCAAACCCAAAATCAAATCAAACTAACCTTTCAAGACCTAAACAAAGTTAACTCTAACATGCGAGATTTAGTTTTGAAAATACATGCTTTGACACCTCTTCGAGTCTCACAAGCGATTGATTTCTATCACCAGAATTCGAAAGTACCCCCCCAAAAATGTCAATCTAAAAATTTCCAAATCTTGTTTAAAGGGTTTTCTCTCTCTAAAATGTGAAAAATGAGTTTTGGGGGAAGGAAAGGTGGGAAATTGAATCCACCCTTTCTCTGAATCGTAAGCAAGTAAATTTAGCAATAATGGAGAAAGAATATGGCTATAAATCAAGCCAAGAGAAGAAAACTTTACTGTTTTGTAAAATAAAATTTATTCCAATAACATATGCCTCCTGAAATATGATATCTAACCTTTTATAAGCCTATGAAGCCCTAATTTAACTTGAGATCTAGGTAAGCATTTAAGACTCTAAAATACCCCTAAAACAATATTAAAATTCCAAAAATATCCCTATGAACAGTACATGAACAATAACTGTGAACAATATTGCATGAACAGTAACTGTGTAGTACCATGAATAGTACTAGTGAATAGTAAATAAAGAAAATATAAGAAAACCCTAGAATCTCAAAAAAAACCTTAAAATCCTAAAAATAAATCCTAAAATTAAATCAAAATATACATCCTTTAAAATTGAATAGAAATTAAAAATAAGTATAATTTTACCCTCTATCATTCTTCCCTGGTTGGAGAGATCTCGTCTTCAAGGTATGAAATGTGCTAAGATGAATTCAGCATCAAAACTACATTCTTCAACCTTCTTCTTAATTAGCTCATATACTATTTGTGGTAAACATAACTTCTCAATAAACGGATCCTGATATATATATTGAGGAATCAGCTATTCTTGAGCTCCCATTGAAAATTGTGTAGGAAACTTCAAACCCAATTTCCTGCACTTTAGAGGCTTTCTCGACATCTATCATTGCTTTCTGAAACCAAGGCCACAATTTGCAGATTTTGAGTTCGATGCTTCCACTGCATTAATTTGATTCCAATGCCCTAAATCTCCTAAATGTTCCACTTCTTTGATATCCTTTAGATCTTCATCTTTTTCTTCGTTAAAGATTGGTTCACCTACGAGATCTTGATCGTCATCATAGATTTGATCTCTTACAAAATCTCGTTCATCGTCTAAGTATGTATAGAAAATCGGTGGCAAATACCAATATACAACTTGCTGATTTTAATACGACTTATGCCAAAATCAACATCGTTCTCCTTCAAATCATGTAAGATCAACTAAATCCCATGATCTATTCTCTCGAACATGAGGCTTCCAACATGGAGCGCGTGCATAGAACGAGTGGTTGAAGGTAGCTTCATCATTCCGCTCCAACTCTGAGTCGGACTCTAAATCGCGCCATTCTCCATAGAAACCCTCACGATTTGGATCTATCCTCATAGATTACTCTTTGTTTAGGGCACACTATTGTTTGGCCCGCTTGCGAAACAATAGCTCTGTAGCCCACTCCGAAACAAGTTGCGAAACAAGTTGTTGATTTTCTTGTGCAGTTGGATTAGATCGACATCCTTGTAGCTGAGACCTCCATGACAAGCCATGCAATCTCCAACCATCCACGAATCATGCTCTGATACCATTTGATGTAGGAAGGAAAGGTGGGAAATTGAATGCACCATTTTTCTGAACCTTAAACAAGTAAAATCATCAATAATGGAGAAATAATATGGCTCAGCCAAGAGAAGTAAACTTTATTCTTTCATAAAATAAAATTGATTCCAATAACGTATACCTCCTAAAATGTGATATCCAACCTTTTACGACCCTATGAAACCCTAATTTAACTTGAGATCCAAGTAAACATTTAAGACTCTAAATTACCTCTAAAACAATACTAAAATTTCAAAAATACCTATGTGAGTAGTAGCACGTGAACAATAACTGTGAACAATAATGCATGAACAATAATTGTGAACAGTACCCTAAATAGTAAATAAAAAAATATAAGAAAACCCTAGAATCCCAAAAAAAACTTAAAATTCTAAAAATAAATCTTAAAACTAAAATCAAAATATACATCCTTTAAAATTGAATAGAAATTAAAAATAAATATAATTTTGCACACCATCACCTCGGCAGGGTGCCTAGGGCCTTGGCCTAACTCAAGGTGCCTAGGAAGGACACCTTTCATATCCTTGATTTGTACTTGCCGGAAGGGATTACTTTTTGAGTTCTGATTAGAGATCTTTCTCATATATAAATCTTTATTTCATTTTTCTCTAGCTATCTTGTTAGTATTTGCAATCTTTTATTTTTAAAAATGTCATTTTTACATGTATTTCTTGAATTCTCCTTCATTTTTCTATATTTCTATTTTATGCACTTGCTTTTGACATTACCATTCCTTTACCTTAAATATTTTCTGCAGCCTTTTCTCTTCTTTTGTCAAATCTGGAGTTCTTTTTTATATTTTTCATTGGGAATGATTTACTAAAATAAGATTTTACTTTTTCTTGAGATTATTGATTACGTGTTTGTGTGTAGCTCTAGCTTATGTTTTCTAATTCTATTGCATATGGTGAATTAGTTGTATATTGGAGCTTGAAGTCTTGACAAGTACATGTAACCTGGGAATATATTTCAAAGAATAATCAGATAAAGGTCCAACAATTTCAATATGTTTAGTAATGTTTGTCATAGGAAGGTATTCTCTATCTGAGAATAGAGATTTTTATGAATTGTGCAAGTTAAATGTGAATGAAGCTGGATGATTTAGTGTAGCACCGGAATATTTTAGTTCATGTATGAGCACATATTGCACACTCATTCTTAATTTCATGTGTATCTGCTCTACTCATGTGCTTTTTGGAAGTTTTTGTTACTGATTGTATGTCTTCAAATTAGTTATACACCTAGTGGTCCTGTGCTTTGTGCAATCCTGGTTATTCGAGTGTCTTGTTCATGCCTCTGCTCCCTTTGCTGTGTCCTGTAAGCTTGAATCCCGGTGTGAATATCTCCATGTGTCATAGCTCCTACTGAGCTTGCTACTTTGTTGTTACATGCTTTGCCTCCTAGTTGTGTATTTCATGAATGGCTTTTGGTCTAGCTGCTTTGAATTTTTTTTTTACCCCCTCTTCTCTTTTTAGAACTATCTAGAAATAAACCTTTTTTCTGTTGGGCATTGCTATTGTTGCCATTGTTTCCTTCTTTTTGGGAAATAATTATTCTGCCTTCTACAAGTGGTGCTGTTCTAAAGTGATTTATATGCCTGTGTAGTGCAGTTCATGAGGCTTGCATACCTAATAGGATATGGAATGGACATTGAGAAAAGTCCTACCAATAGGTATGTTTCTTCTGAATAAAGATAATGGGCACTTACTTTTGAAATTATTTCACCTCGTTGTCTACCCTCCCTGTTCTTATTATCTTATAATCAGTGTTATTAATTTCGATGAATGTATAGTTTGCTTGTCATTTTCATTTTGGACCATTTTCACTTTATGGCTATTATACCATTTACACTTGCTAAATGCACCCTGGTTTGAGCAGTGCTGCTTTGAGCATGCTTTCATGGGCAAGACCAGTAGTCTGGCCTTCAGTTCCTCCTGATGCTTTAACAGGGGTGGTTGCAAAAGAAAAGGCAAGTATATTCTTGTGGTTAACTCTTAGGGTTGTCAGTTTTTCATCTTATTATGCTCAACCCTTTATTACTTTACATCTATTGAATTCTTATTTTAACACAGAAATGGTGGCCTGGCTGTACTGTATGGATGTGATCCACTTTGTGAAAGGGGACCAATTCCAGAGGTTTTGTGCCCTTGAAAATCTCTACTCATTCCATGATAATTTATAGCTACAGTATACAACTAGCAGAACTGGATTGAATAATCTAGTGACATGGAAGGACCTGAAGGAATCAAGTTTGTGCATTTGAAGCAGTCCAAAACTACTTCGAAGGAAAAGTTGTATATGAACTGCTGTTTTTAGAGGCCATGGCTTTAATGGATGGTAATTAGCAACAAAATTCATGTTTTAGCAAATACGCAAATATAACACTTGGGTGTTTGAGAAAGGGTTCTTGCACTGTAAAAATCAAATGTCATGAGATCGTATTTAGTGCATTTGAGAAGGGGCTCTTACACTGGAAAAATCAAATCTCATGAGTGTGTCTTATACAATAAAACACTGTTAGTAATTTCTATTTTAGAATATAAAACAAATGACCTAGGTCTATTATTTTCTATTTTACTTTTTGCAATGATGTATTATCAATATAGAGTTAGAGGGATAGGGCCTGGCGCCTTCCAAATGAAGCCATTTACTATTTTGGTAGACTCCATTTTGGAGGAAGTGGTTATCATGACATCTCTTGTGCTTTAGTTAGTTTGAACTTTCCATACTTTTTTGTTATTTAAGCACTTTAATAATTTGTGGCAGCAGGATTTGAGATTTCTACATTTATAAATTCATTGCCCAAAGGATAGTTGGTCTTTGTGCTTTCTTTATTTTTCTTTACAGTAGTTGTCAAATTCAAAAAGTGGAGATAGTCTTAAGTTTTTGCTCTTGTTTAGGTGGCTGCTAGACCTTTAAGGTCTTAAGAATTTTCCAAAGTTCGTCTCTAGTCAAAACCTCCAAAATGTAGTTGTCCTAGATTCTTTAGGATGCTCCTATCAAATTTGAGTTCAAGGAGTCTCTCATTTATTCTAAACAAATGACATTTTAAGGTTCTAATTGTCAGTTTCAAAAAGAAAAAAAAAGGTTCTAATTGTCATTCTTGTTTCGCCCCCAAAAAAAAAATATATAAAAGCTCTCCAGCAGTTTCTCCCATCCATGATATCTAGTTTCTGGTATGCTGCTTTAAGCCATCATATTTCTTTTTTACAAGACGGCGTTGGCTCTTCGAAATAAAGTTCAATTTGGTTGTTTGCATGTTACTCATGTGCAAATGTGTTTCTTTTTTGTGTGTGAGTATTTATGCACAGGTATTATGAATATTGTTGATTTTTCCTATTTCTTTCATGTCTTTATACACTGAGTATGTGGGCAGCCCAGGTGCTGATGGTTCTCCAATGATGCCTCCACCAAACAAAATCCCTGTCAGCTCTATGTCTCGAACTAATTCAAGACCTGTACAATTTGAGAATTCTAGTTTGATCCAGTCACTTGTTGATCGTCCAATGAAGCTTTCAGAAGTTCATGTTGCTGCAGAACATGTCCTAAATGCGACAATTTCTGATCCTGATCTACTGAAAGCCATATCATCTGTTCATGATTTTGAGGTGATTATTTTACATGTTGATCTATTTGTGGGTCTTAGGGTCTAGAACCCAACAAAAAAAAGGAACCTTTTTGGTACTGATGAGAATAATATTTCTTCCTGCACTTTGTCTTGTACTGTTTGTCTTCTTTCCAAATGCTTCATGACTTTTTGACCCAGTCTATTTGATTTTTTACACTATTCAACCTTGGAAATATGTTTCATGAGACTGATGTTTCTGCATTCAGTCATAAGTCTGTGGATGTCTATATGGATGATTTAAGAACATGGATTCACCGTAACCACCACAGTGAGCAATATTTGTCGAGTTTCCTGTCAAAAGTTACAGTTAAACTCCATCAGCCTGGGGAAATTATCTGTGAGCACACCTTAGAGATCTAGGAAAGGGGCAATTGGGGTAAGTTAACTAAGCTTGCCGAATGATTAGTAATGTATTGCGAACGCTTTCTAGTTTGAGGTGCACCTGCAGAGGGTAGAAAAATGTACAACAGCCAGTCATCTATCTGTGTGTTGAAATTTCTTCTTACTTTGATATTCTCATACACGATATTACGAAGTTACTTTGCCCCTGTTGCCCATGTTTTCTGGATTGGTAATGGAATGAAATAATAAACTAATATAAGTCTATTTGTAGCCTGGCAGCCCAAAATGAGTATGATGTCATGCAGTGTTTTCTGTGACTATAATCTCCATTTGCTTGGGAAATTTTGTAGCCTATCCATTGTTGTTATTTATTATCTAAAGACATTATACATTTAAATCCTTTTTTTTAATTGTATATATGTTTCATTTGTTTCCTATATACTAAGTGCATTTGTTGTAATTGTTATTTCTAATGTGTATTGATTGAGCTTATGTCTAATCTCATTTTGATCATTGCAGCTAAAGTATCTGGATTTGACAAAAGGTGCTGCTGAGAATTACAATCGTTCATGGTGGAAACGCCACGGAGTTGTCCTTGATGGAGAGATCGCAGCAGTCTGCCATAGACATGGAAATTATGATCTCTCTGCAAAGTCATATGAAAAAGTTTGTGCTCTTTATGCTGGAGAGGGATGGCAAAATTTATTAGCAGAAGTCCTTCCTAATTTAGCAGTGTCAGAAGATACTCAATGACCATGCTGGATATCTTGCTTCCTGTGTCAAATTGCTGTTTTTAGACAAAGGCCTATTCCTTGTCCAAGAAGTCAAGCATTCCAATCAGAAGTTGTCCGACTTGCTCATAGCGAAATGAAGCATCCAGTGCCCTTAGATGTGTCATCATTAATAGCATTCTCTGGAAATCCTGGACCACCACTGGAGTTATGTGATGGGGACCCTGGAACTCTATCGGTAATGGTGTGGAGCGGCTTTCCTGATGAGATTTCTCTTGAATCTTTGACTCTCACTCTTATAACTACATTCAGTGCAGATGAAGGTGTAAAGGTATGCTTTCTATCAGGCGCTTTCTGTTGTGTGGCATCACACTTGGTTGTTATTCAGTTTTTCTGACTAGTGATATAAGAAGAAACTATGAATTCTATGTCCTCTTGCTCTGATTTGTAGGTTATAAAGAGCTCCAGTGCTCTTGTATTAAAGCCAGGAAGGAATGATGTCACCTTGCCTCTGCCTCCTCAACGTTCCGCATCGTATGTCCTGGGTGTTCTAACAGGACAGATTGGAAATTTGAGATTCAGGTCCCACAGCTACTCAAGAGGTGGACCTCCAGATAGTGATGATTTTATGAGCTTTGAGAAGCCCATCCGTAAGTAACTCTGACATGATCTATACTCGGACAAGATACAATATCAAGGATACATGATAGATATGGGTGGCTGATGACTGTGATATGTACTGTTTCCCCTGTGGTTTTTAGTCCTCCACCATGCCTTATTTGTAATTAGTTTACTAAACAAGTAGGTGTTATAATAGTACTGTCCAATAAGATGATATGATGGACTCTGATGGAGCGAGATTGGGGTCTGATGGGCCCAAATCTCTTTATTACTGTTCATCATTGCATTCAAAGTGATGAACCTTGTGGACAATGATTTTCCATAACCCATTGGTTTGTGTTTTACTTACCCTTGAAGTACTGTGTTTACTTATGGACCTGTTCCAATCATCTGAATCATATTCAGGTGTCCAAGCCAAGGCCTCTAGTTGATCTCTCAGCAGTCGTTTCGTTTGCATTGCTGATGAATGAAGCTCAATGGGTTGGCTTGATTGTAAGACCTATTGATTACACTCTTAAAGGAGCAATCTTACTCGTAGATACTGGACCAGGTTTAAAAATTGTGGAGTCTCATATGATTGAGATGGAGAGTTGTACTGAGGCATTTGAGGGCTTGGGCCAGATAAAAAACTCCAATATTATCTCAACTGATAATTCTACTGGTGGGGGAGGATATGAACGGTTACCACTAGAGGTGGTAAATTAAAATTGCCAGATTGGGTGAGTAATTTGATGTCAGTTCTGTGGTTGCCAGTTCGTGCTATTGATGATAGATTGCTTATGGGAACTTCTGCAGGTAATGAGTTCCTCTCTGTTACTTGATGGGTTTTTTTCCATTTTGTTTCATGTCACCAATGCATATCTAAATGGGCATCTTGATTTGTGATCAGTCATTTCACAAAGACAAAATATTGTTGATGGAATGAGGACTCTTGCCCTGAAACTTGAATTTGGAGTCTCCCACAATCAGACATTTGAAAGGTATCCTTCTGATTGTCCATATTTGGATGTAACGTTTTTCCATTGATAAGCAGTTTTTCTGATGCAAACAAGAAAAATGTTTTCTATTGATAAGCATTTCAGATGTGCACAATCTTAAGATGATAATGGAGATCTTAATGTGAAAGCACCTGGGTTTAATGTCTGTATGAAGCTCTTGTGGAAATCTTTAGCTCTACTGATGTTGATGCTCAGGACTGTTACTGTATTATCCTTTATATGTAAGCACACACGTATCAGACAAGTGCAAAGATGGTACTTTATTGCTGCAGGTATTTATCTTAAAATTTCTATCTTTTTTATCCTTTTGGTAATCCTTATTTTATTCGTAGTTGTATTATTGTGTTCATTAACTCCGCCACAGCCAGTCCCAAGACGGTCATGCTGGTCTCAATCTTGGATAAAGGAGGAGGGTTGTGTTGTGTAGGTCAGCCAATGTAAACTTTGCCACATCTTTTCAGACTGTTATTGTGTTCATTGTAACCTTGTATTGTTTTCTCATTATTGGAATTATTAGATTCATCATAACCTAGTATTGTTTTCTCGTTATCATATGCTTGGTATGCCCTCTCTTAGAGCCTTAGGCTTTAACGTATTAGGAGCATGCTCCCACAAGTTCATTGTTGATATTTGGTATTAGGATTTGAAT